ATTGCCTCCTTCCCAGGGCTGAGAGAGAGGGACTGGCCCAAGGTCACCCAGCTGGCTTTGTACCTAAGGTCGGACTAGAACTCCCAGTCTCCCGGTTTCTAGCCTAACACCTTAACCACACCACCAAACTGGCTCTGTTATTGTCTGTAGAGTGTAGGAACAAACAATTATACTCTTCTGATTGAAAAATAGTCCCATTTTGGATTTGTCATCCTCTGTGCTTATTTTCTACCAAGGTAATAGAAAGACTAACCAATTCTGGTCAAAGTTTAATGTTGTGTTTAACTGAAAATTTATTGTATTATAATAGCTGGTGATCTCTTCTCCTTTCTTCTCCTCTTTGTTTCTTTTGGAGTCTTTTGTTGTTCTCTGCTTTTCTTTTGCACATTAAAGCAAATGTTAGCTAAACCTTGTAATTATTGCCTTGCTATTATTGGAACCATCCATTTTACCTTTTTACCCTTTTTATGAGTTTGTTGACAATTTTATTACATTTATTGTCATTGTTTTGCAAGCTACTTTGATTTTTCTTTTATGAAAAGCCTTATGCAGTGTTGTGAGTTAATCAATGCTTTTTACTGATCTAAAAATTGAAAACTGCCTGGGAGACGAGGGTCAAAGAGGTTGAGTTTCTTGTAAGCACTAGGCAGGAAGGCCCAGAAGAGGATACCTACATTTCTGTAGCTCTAAATGTCCAACATATTCACACCTTAGTCACTTCCGGGCTGGATTATTGCAATGCACTTTACATGGGGCTGCCCTTGAAGACCACTCGGAAGTTACAACTGGTACAGAACACAGCAGTGCGCACAGTATTGGGTGCTCATAAGTTTGTCCATGTTACACCTTTATTGCATGAGCTGCACTGGCTCCCAGTTTCTTTCTGGGTGCAATTCAAGGTGTTGGTTGTCACCTTTAAAACTCTCATGCCATGGGACCGTTATTTATGAGACCACCTCTCCCTAAGAATATCTGTCAAATATCGGTCAAAGGTAAGACTAGGGAACCAGCCAACCCCAAAACTGACTATTCCCATCCCCACCCCCTGCGTGATGACAAAACCAGGTCTTCAGTTTTTTTCTGAAGTCTAAAAGGGAAGGGGCCAACCTCACTTCTGAGGGAAGAGTGTTCCAAAGGGACACTTCCTATTTGGATGACTGCAATGTGCTTTACATGGGGCTGCCCTTGAAGACCACTTGGAAGTTGCAGCTGGTAGAGAATGTAGTGGCACACACAGTATTGGGTGTTCATAGGTTTGCCCATGTTACACCTCCATTGTGTGAGGTGCAAGGGCTCCCAGTTTCCTTCTGGTACAATTCAAGATGCTGGTTATCACCTTAAAGCCCTACATGGCACGGGATCCAGTTATTTGTGGGACCGCCTCTCCCTAAGAATATCTGCCTGTCCCACTAGATCAGATAGGGTAGGCACACTCCAGATCCTTTCCCTGAGATCTTGCCACCTAAAGGGACCTCGGAAGCGTGCCTTTTCCATAGCTGCCTCTTCCTTATGGAGCATCCTCCCCCTGGTGATTCAGTGTGCCTTCAACCTTTTAGCTTTCGAAAGCCATTAAAACCTGGCTTTCACCGAGGCGCTGGGATAGGATTGAATAAGATAGAAAGGGGCAACTGGGGCTTGCTGCAGGGCATCCCAAGGAAACAATTAAGGTACAGGGTTTTTGTTTTATTGTTTTACTGTGTTTGATTGTTTTCTTGTGCTTTATTATTTTCTTGTGTTTTCTTGTTTTGTTTATTCTTTTTATAGTTATTGGTTTTATTACTGTGAGCCTTCCAGAGTTGCTTAAGATGGAAGATCATATAATTTTTTTAAATAAATAAATACATTCCCTAAACAACCCCCCCATGAAAGAAAGAAAGAAAGAAAGAAAGAAAGAAAGAAAAAGAAAGAAAGAAAGAAAGAAAGAAAGAAAGAAAGAAAGAAAGAAAGAATTGACTTCAGCAATGTGAGCTCTTGAGCTACTGTGGATAACTTTCTCCCTTTGACTTCCACAGGAACAGAGAGGAGAAAAGTAGTGTGGGAAGAAAAACTTTATGGGAAAGTACCCCCGACTATTGGATTTAGTGAGCCTGCAAAAGTGTGCAGAATTAATAATATATAGAACATGACAAATCTTGGAGCAGAGGCTAATATTGCATCCAAACTGTATCAGGTTCATGCTATGGTGATTCAAATGAGTATATTCTCAGCATTGTGTCTGGACGGGCATGGCACATTAGAGACAAGCATCTCTGGAGATGCTGCCCAAGCTTCTATGAAAAATGACTCCATAACTACTCATTTCTATGATGTCATGTGCAGAAAAGGCTTCAAATACTAGGTAGAACATTTTTTTTCACCAGAGTGGATAAAACGCTTCTTTGAAATTCACTGCAACCTTAATCCCCTGTTTGTGGACTCAGAATCTCTACTGAGAACTTGTAGAAAGAGTTTTTTATTTTTGGAATACAGTTAGCGGATGTCCATTCCTGCTTTTGTCTCAGCTTGAAATGGAGAACAATCTCAATCTGTCTCACTGTTGAGGATCTTGACTTCTCATTTCTAAGAATGCTTGGGTATGTGCATGTGGAAATGTATTACTTGCATTCTTTCTGATAGGTTAGGATACAACCAAGATTACTCAGGGAGAGAAAGGAATTTACCATATATTCATTTACAAACAACTGTATTGATGCCTACAAACTAGTGACCATGAATCTTATTGTTTATGTGATGGGCATTTCTGCATTTATTTTATTCACCATCTCAGCAAATTTCCTATCCGCTGAATATCCTAACTTTCTATCTTGCACAAACAACTTGGCAGTGTTCTTCCATTCACCACTCCTTTTTTTTCTCTCAGCCACACAACTGTGCTGCATGTCCAGATATGTTTCTACCTACAAATGTCCTCCTTTTTTTCTCTGCATCTTCCATCACATTCTGTATTTTGTTTTTCAGTGTTTTCCATCTACAGGAGATGCAAAAGCTGGAAGGATGAATAATACTTTAAATGAAAGGCCTGCAATTCCCCCAAAAATCTTGGGAAGTGGCTTCAGATGAAAAGAATGGAATTTAACAGGGAAAAATGGAAAGTTCTGGATAGGAAGAAAGTAAGTCTTGGCAATAATGCAAGGGTCTTTATCATGCTAAGTGTTCTATTGTGTTTCATGTGTGGCAAACACAATAGCAATGCATGAAAACTGTGTTTAAAAAATGTAGCTAAGGAGTAACACAGTGAAGACTACATATTTTCCCTTTTAACAGGGGAACATGAATTTGACCAACTGTACAAGAACAGTAGAGTTTATCCTTGTTGGATTGCCAACTATTTGGGAAATGGAAAGTGTGATATACGCTGGTATCTTTCTGCTCTACCTCCTGTGTCTGATGGGCAACGGGCTCATCATTGTGATGGTAATTGTAGACCGCCATCTCCAGAAGCCCATGTATTTCTTCCTCAGCAACCTTTCTTTCATTGACATTGGACACACTACAGCCTTTATTCCTAAACTGCTAGTCAATTATCTCTCTTCAAAGAATTCCATCTGTTTCTACTGCTGCATAACACAGTTGTACTTCTATTTTCTTTTTGGGGTCACAGAATTTTTTATCATGACTTTGATATCCCTGGACAGGTATTTAGCCATCTGCTATCCCTTGAGGTATGCTACAATCATGACTTCTGGGGTCTGCCTTAAACTAGCAGTAGCAGCCTGGTTTGGAGGCTTTTTCTCCATTCTTTCCCAGATACTGATGATAGCAAATCTACCCTACTGTACGTCCAACATTATCAATCATTTCTACTGTGATGTGGGACCTGTGTTGAAGATTGCAGGAGGGGATATACGAGTTATTGAAGCCCTTGGTTTCCTCCTTACTGTGGTTGTGATTATGTCCTCCCTGCTTTTCACCCTCATTTCTTACCTCTTCATCATCTGCACCATTCTCCGAATGCCTTCAAACACCAGACAGCAGAGGGCCTTTTCCACATGTGCTTCCCATCTGATTGTAGTCTGCATTTTGTACGGGTCAGTCTTTTTTGTCTATCTAAGACCTACTGTCAAGAACTCTTCCTTCAGTATGATGAAGTCTGTCTCCGTATTGTATACAATGGTTGCCCCAGTGCTAAATCCTTTCATTTACACCATTAGGAATAATGAAGTCAAGGGTGCAGTGTAGAAACTTTTAGAAAGAAAGACTCCAGTTCTCCCAAATCGGTTACCCTAGGCCTTTGTGGCAAAGTGATAGAAAATGACTCTGTTGTCCTATTGAAAGCATCAAGGCTTAGAACTTCAGAATCCATCTCCAAAGCTATTGCTCAGGTATGCTTTAACAAGCCTATCTTAACAAAGATGAAGAAAGCAATAGGTAACATGGTAAGTGACAAATGGAAGTTTTTCTGGCCTTCATGTGCAATTGTGTGATGATCCCATGATAAAAGGATTGTTGGGAAGTAGCCATCTTCTGCTATTGCAAGTCCTAAAACTAAAAATGTACTGCATGGTCACTAGTCAGCTACTTTGAATGAGAGCTTTTGAGTATAGTTCACTCTTCCCCCCCCCCCAATAATTTTATTAAGATTTAAAAAGAACAATAAAAATAATATAAAAGAAAAAGAAAAAGAAAAGAAAAAAGAATTTCAAGTGTCCCCCCTTTTAAGGAAGTGACTTCCCACTTTCATCACAAGAAGTAATAAACAATTTCATAATTTCTTCCTCCCTCTTAATTAAGAAATATAGAAATTTTCATACCATAACCCATCTCTTAGTAATAAACAAATCAGATAAGTAACATCTTCTCCTTATCCAATTGTCAGCAAAAATCCAGAGCTCTAAAATATTAAAATGAATTAACAAGATTATAACTCAATTTTCCATGCCTCGACTCTTAACTGTAAGCAAAATCCCATTTTAAAAGCATTAAAAAACTATAAGCAAACCAAACCTAAACTTAACAGCCACAACAAAAACAATTTCTCCTTTAAAAAACATCAACAAGGAACTCCAATACACAGCCCATTCCAAATGCTAACCATTTCAAAGATAACCCCCCAAATAAACATTCAAATAAACATTCCACATCTCAACTCTATACTATTCACAAATATAAAATAATCCCAGCATCCTAAAAAAAAAAAGACTAAAATTTCTCCTAAAAAAATTTCTCCTAAATTTCTCCTAAAACACACACACACACACACACACACACACACACACACACAGATATTAAGCATTTAGATACTAAGCAACTAGGATATAGAAAATAGATATAAAATAAAGATTTTAAACATCAAATATGCAAATCCGGTATGCCACATTTTCCAGTCAAAATATCAGTAAATCCAAAAAGAACAACTCAGAGTAACAATATGTCTCATTTTAACCCTGGTCAAATAAGCCAATTTTATATTCCTTCTTTTTATACACAACAGTCTTTCTCTGTAATCCATTCCAATAGTTATTGATCCTTATTACAAATTCTTCCATTTTTTAAGCAGTCTCTTATCCAGTGAAAAAGAATTATTTCCATTACTCTCTGGAATTGTCTTTTTTATTGCCTTCTTAATTTTTAAAAACCTCATACAGTTTTCTCTTTGCATCTGATGGCAGCTTATTATCCAAAGTTTCATTAATGTTATTCTCAAATGGAATTTGTTGTATATCTTGTTCTATAACATCTTGTTCTGAAGACAGACTGCTCCCAAAAAGACACAGCATAGCTGCCATAATTCATTCAAAGTCTCAACACAGTCCTTGCTGGAGATTCTCAAAGATAGCTCTAAACGCCACAACAATTTATTTCCCACAAACATGCATTTATTCTTTAAAAATAATTAAAAAGTCTTAATATTCAAAGTTCAGCCAATGTTTTCTGAGCCCTTAATCATTTCAAAACTTTCTGTAGCCAAAACCTTGTCATGCTTTTTGCTGTTTACTTTAAATTCTTAAAAGTTATAAAAAAACTATAACTTCATTTTCTTATATTAAGGCGTGAAGGTACTCACTCACCAGGTGTTTTCTGCCTTGTCCCTTTGAAGGTGTCTAACTTCACAAAAGCCATTAACAAGCAATTTCTGAAAGTAGTTAGCAAAGGAAGTGCGCATCCTTTGAAAGGCCCTGTTTGCGGCTAGAGCAAATACAGTAAATTACTGTGTCCAGGTTTCCCCCCACCAGAGATTGCTGTCTTGCAGTCCATTCATGAGGGAAAAGGAGCAACCACAAGGAGAAACAGCTTTGGCAAACTTGCCTCTCTCTGTTTTATTCAATGAGGATCGAAGGAGCAGCTCCTTAAAAATGTCTGCAAATGTTGGCTTCAGTCAGGTATCTTCCCCGGAAACCCAAATATAGTCCACTCTTGATGAAAGGGATAGCTCTTTCTTATTCCTCTGCATAGACTATAATATTTATAGTTATAGAATAATATTTAGTATTTGGATTACTTTATTTGGAGAAGAGGGGAGTCACAACCATTTTGATGAAGAAATGACAAGCTGTGGTTTTCAAATTCTGTTTTATTGAAAGATGCTCACTGGACCCAGAGAAGAATCCTTAATATAATATAGGACTCCTCTCTTATTGCAAACATGCAAGAGATGTGCCTTGGTGCTGCCAATCATTAGCAATAACCTTTAGATATTGATCTAGACTTCAGCACCCAAAGATCATGACCTGGCCTGAAAAGGGGCTTTAGGAGCTGTTGAGTGGTCTCCATCACTCACAGTAGAAGAGAAGCTTTATCTTCTGTTGGATCTGAGGGTGACAGAAAGAAATGGACCTTTCTTGGGTCAAACTGAGTGGACTATTTGAGCTAATATTGTAAGTTCAACCACCTTTGTAAGAGAGGTTCACTGAAATTGGAGGGACATGACCGTACTGCATATTTACAAAGTTTCTGACTGTGTCCTTCTTTATTATCAAAGGTTCATAAATACAGATCTGATGGTACCTTCTTCCTCTTCTCATATTTCCATTTATAGAAATTCCCCAACCTTGTGAACTCCAAACAAGTTAGATTCAGACATTGCAGAATTGTTCTTTCTACATGAGGAAATCCTGCTTACAGGATTATCGCTGCTTACAGTGATAGGGATCCCCCCCCCCCAAGTTTCATTTCTCTTTTTCTCTCCTTTGGTGTATATTTGAAATCCTGTTTTCTGGATTGGAGAATAGTTTTTGAAATAATGAATTAAAGCTTACCCCTAATGTAGCCTGTGTACATTTGCCTAACATATCATATGTGTAAAAAAAAAGTTCTCTAAAAGTATGTATACTTATCTATTATGTTCATATGAAAGATATAAATTTTTATAAAAGATCTGTTGACTCTTACTTGCTTTTCATATGTGTAATGAAGGATGAACTGGTTATTATTTTTTTTAACTATAGGTTGAAAGATACAAGATTATGTAAGCATACACTCAGATGGAGACTGAATTTGTTTCTTTCCCATCTCTAGGTAATCACTGATGAAGATTGGTTGGTGGGTCATTCCATACAACTTAGGACATTAGGTTTATCGTAATGCAATGACTTTGTATCATGATGTGTTTTCAATAAAGTCTGTTTCATAAACCTTGTTCTTGGATTGGACTTCCTGGAAGACCTGTATGCTTGGGCTAGGAATGGAGAGGCAAAGGTTCAAGTCCCCCTTAGTCATGGAAGCTCATGGGGGACTTTGGGTCAGTCAAATACCTGACAGGGACCACTTCTTGTGGGAAAATATTGGAGGGGTGTCAATCTGAGAAGAAATAAATCATTCTTGACATTCTTGTCCACATGTTCCTGAATAGTATCATTTACACATAGGATGGGGTATCCACAGAGCTTTCCAAATGATATAAATGGATTGACTTTCTATGAGGAGAATAAATGGAACACAATTAATGGCAGGGGAACAGAAAAACATGGGAAATAGAAAAAAGTGTTTGTCCTGGAGCAGCATCAAATTGTGAACCTTGACTACTAAAAAGGATCCTTGTATGGTATAACACTTTCAAGTCTACATATGTTACCATTATATTTTCCATTGGAACTGACTTACTCTGTCCATTCAAGGTCCCACATTTTGTGACCTCCACTCTCAAGCAATATTCTACCTCCACATAGAATTACATCATCATAAAACTCCAGAGTTGGAAGGGGACATTTATGCCACTGAATTCTACCTCCTGCCCCCACTTTGGTTCAAGAATCAAAACTTAAGTAACCCAAAGAAATACAATTTAGTCTCCATATAAATACAACCAGTCATGAGGCAACCACAATCTTCAATGCAGATGAATTGAGGGGAGGTGGGGGCAGACACAATGTTGAATGCAACATGATTTCACACAATATCTGACACAATTATGTACTATACAGCATTGGATGAAACATCACAATGCACAGGGCATTATTTTGGTGTCCTCTTAATGATGGCCGATATGTAGATTGGGGAATTCTGTCAGTTGAAGTCCTCACATCTTAAAGTTGCCAAGTTTGAAAAACACTTCACTAAAATGTAAAACTTCTGATTCCCTAAGTTATCTTGCCCTCCCACCACTCCACCTCCAGGGGGTTTCAAATCTGTGAGTCTTGAGGAAACTATTGTGAATGTCTTCACCTTGAATTGCATATAAAAATGAATGGGGAAAAAGGGAAAGAGTGAAGAAAATCATTATTGTATATCATATCCAATCTGTTCCTTCCTTCTGTTAATGAGACTTCTTTAAGACTCTTTGAAGACTCAATAATATATAGAAGACTGCATTTCTAGGAATGGTACTTGGAATTTGGTCAAAATAAAAACAAGCATGATTCATTTTGATTCAAAACAATATATTCTGGGTATAGTCTAAGGATATTTATGGGAATTAACAGACAAATATCTCTAGAGATGGTAACTTAACTTTCCATGAAAAATTAAGTGCTGCCTCAGTGAAAGGCTTACAGTTACTCTTTTTGCAGTTGAAGAGGAGTGTTAATTAGACCAACTACAAAAGAGTTGCAGAGATTGTCCATGATGGATTGCCTCCAGAGGACCTTCTATCTTGGGACGGCACTTGAAATGTGGTCCAAATGATATCAACCTCAAGTACATTTTAGGTATAGCGCATGGATACTCATGGGAAATTAAAGACAAATATCCTTAGAGACTGTATCCCAACCTTCTGTAGAGAATCCGTAAATAAATTTTCCATG